CGGAGATATGTCGAACTCATTTTCTGGTAAAAATGAGGTTTAGAGATGGACCTCAGTTAGGAATTTTTCTGGCGTGGCTAAAGCTGTCATTTAAGTTGTCCAAAACAAGTTGCCATCTTAGGTGAGATCAAATAACCACATGATACATCTTGTGCACGCATTTTTTCATTTTATCTACGGGGGCTGTCTATCATCTACTCTTAAGAGGCTTGAACGTGGAGGACTAGTGTTTAATAAACATTGAGGCGTGATCCTAACCCTGAAGTTTTTTGGTATTCATTTTTCCAAGAAACTGGTGTGACTCCAGAACGAAAGCAGCATGATATTGATCTGATTGATAATGGTTGATGTTCCTATCTCGTTTCCACAAAGAACTAATCTTGCTGTCTGAGTGTCTCGTAAATGCTAGACATTAAACAACCCTTGGCTGCTTACTGGGTGAAAAGATGTCAGCTTCACCTTCTCTCCACTATTGTTAGTTGTAGAGGCTCTCACTCGCAAGCAGTCGCATCCATTTCGATCCCGCTCAGGCGCGGTAAACAACAAGAATATCATTTCCATTCCAACGGACAACAACGCCTACGAACCTAGTTCCTCCACCCCACCCGCCTACGAGCCTGCACGCCCTGAAATTGCCGACGATGGAGCTTCTGGGCCAACACATCGGCGATCCACGGACGAGTGTGCGGAGCCAGCGAATCCACCGCCCTCTGCCACCATCGCCTCTACCGTCGTCAATGCCACCGACTACACACCCAGCCCAATCAGTCGTCAGCAGCAACAATGCTCTCTCCTTGTTACCAAGTTGCCCTGGCGTCTCAACGAGCCCCATAGACTGCGAGAGCATTTCGCACGCTTCGGCAGCATCGTAAACATACAGACGCATTTTGGAGGACAGAACTCCCAGGCTCTGGTTACTTACGCTTCCGTCGCGGAGGCTGAAGCTGCATATCGTAGTCCCGAGCCCATCCTCTCAAATCGCTTTATCCGCCTCTCTCTTTGGCCTCCCTCTAGCGGTCCGCACAACGCCGCTGCCAATGGTGGTGGTGGAGCTGGTCGAATGACGGGTGGCCGTTTCAGAGGTGCACCCTACAAGCGCCACATTGATGCTCTGGGGTTCAGCCAATTTGGACATGTGAGTTCTTGCTTAGTTTGATCAGTTTAGAAGTCTTTTAATGGGTTTTTTGCAGGGACTGGTGGGTTGGAAGCCTACAGCTGACACGGTGATCTCTTCACGTTTAGCGTACCGCTTGAGTTATCGTTGATGCAAGTGTAGAAATTACTTCAGTACGAATACGGAATGGCAATAAAATGCTCGTTTCACACGGTGTGATTGGAGCCCTATTAGCTGCATGGGGTTAAATAGCAGTAGACCACTGGTATGCATACACTTAGGGAGTAAAGTCGAGTAACTCGGATCTGGGCTTGTTATTGATGTTGATGTGTTCTCAAATTCGCATTACGGTGTTCATCCTATCGTTCAAGTTATTGAACTTAACTTGGTTCGTTTTCTGGTACTCCATTATTTGTGGTTCTTAAGATTTATTTGGGATTCCGATTTTGATTACGTTGTGTGAAACTCGGGTCCTGATTGCCTTATTTAAATGGCAAATAATAGTTGTCTTCAAGGAGGCTTGCCTCTATCTACACTTAAGTGCGTTTATCATAATTCATTTCAAAAATCTCGTGCATGTGACGGCCTTTTTTTATATTAATGTGATTTTTTCCATGTACTGAACTACAATTTCTAAGATAATTTTGTTGGCGTTAAGACAGTTCTGGCGAAACCAAACTACTGAATTCAATTATTCAGTGACATCCAAAACGCCTGCTTTTATGTCACACTAAACGAATTACCCAACTCGTTTAAGGGTTTCGTCTGATAGGATTTTGGATCCTTGTGGCTCTGCTCGAATGGAGGTTAATATTCAGCTTTTTCTAAATTTGTGATAAGAGAAGCTTTTTGCTTCGTTTCCGTTATTCGTAAATCTAGATAAAGTCTTCCCTTTACGTCTGAATTATTTTTTCATAAACTGAAACAGGTTTCCTCAAATGTCGCAGATCGCAATATGTACAGAGATTCTTCAATGCCTTTATCTTGTTGCCATTGGATCGTAACCGACGCTTGTATCTAGTGTGCAGTAGTTATTTGTAGGTGAATTATATTACTGCGTGTAATGACGAGTGAATATATGTGTTTTAGTCTCTTCTGGGCGATGCTCAGCCAATATCTCAGCGTTTGCCTGCCAAATTCCGCCTGGGTCAGGTCGGAGACTCCGCAAATTTCCTTAAACGTGGTCACCTCAGGAGTAGTAACACCGCCGCTGCCTCCACCTCTAAATCCACTCCCAACAACCGATCCCGTTGGCGTCTCGAACGTGATGAGAACGGCAATCCTGTGAGTGGTGACGAGGACGACGATGATGACGATGAAGAGGAGGTAGTGGACGTGGAGACTGTGGGGAACGATGGTGAAGCCAACCTTCACGAAGACGCGGATGAGGAACTCTCAAAGAAGCGTTTTCGCGCCTCCGATTTTGATGACATCGACGACTCCTTTGTGCCCAACGTGAGTTCTATCTCTTACCTCGCCTTTTTGAGTAAATCTCATCTTGTTTTCACACTTGTTCTTGTCGTCTCCGCGTCAGCGAAACTCCCGCAATTCCAATAGCAGTGTTGACGAGGAGACTTCGGACTTGGTGGCGGCAGTGCTTCAGCGCAAAAAGGCTCTCTGGGAGCGTCAGAAGTCGACTGCCCTGAAGGAGCACCAGGCGAAGCTGGCGCAGTTTGAAAAACAACGGGCAGCTCGACAGCAGGTTGAGGCAGAGAAGCGAGCATTGATTGTTCAATTGAGCGCTGAATTGAAGGAGACGGTGACTGCTCTGGAGACCGTCTCCAACTCCGAGACAAAGCGGACTCTTGTAGCGAAAGCAAAGGGTGTTTGCAAGCGCCTGGAAGAGCTGAAGAAGTCAGTACAATACCCCACAAAACGTGGGGACGAGGCGAAGCAACAGAACACCGTTCAACAACTTCTACCCGACTCCGTGGCTGCTGAACGTTTGGAGAAGATTGCAGAGGTAAGGCAGCAGTTGACTGAACTGGAAACTCGGCTCCAAATCGAGGGGTCGGTTGAATCTCAGGCTGAAATTCGTCGAAAAATTGCAGATCTTAAAAGAAAGGTAAGAATATACACTCACACGTGCTAAGTTCTCATAAAAATGAGGTCTTATGTCCCTGCTTTCATTTTCCCTCAAGTTGGTGGATTTAGAGACAATTCGGCCAAGCGATCTGGCAGCTCTCAATGCTGCCGCGAGTCTTTCCATTCGGGGTCAGACGAAGCTGGACAAACGACCCCGCGTACTCTATGTCACCGGCCACAGCACTTATGACGTGGAAGACTTTCGGCAGGCTCTTGCTGTAAGTTGGTCATTTTCTTTCCGCCCTCTAACTAGTGGGGCAGTTCACTCAATCGTCTGTGGTGCTGTTTCTAGATGAGCTATCTCTACACAGAGTCCTTTCGACCTTTCATCTGTGGAAACGACAAACAGCCCGTGATTGAGATCACCTTCTGCACGCGTGACTTTGCAGAGGCCGCAGTGCGCATGTTCCCCCAATTTCATGGGCGCCAGTTGGTCATGTCTTTTGCGCCACCCGCCTCCATGACGCAAGAGCAGCAGCGACAACAACGCGAGGAAATTGAGGTGAGGACAGAAGGAGCGAAGGATGAAGGAACGAATAGTAATATCAAAGTGGTCCGCGGTGTCTCTGCTTGTGCCTTGGATGAGGAGGTAGGGCCATTGTGTTTCGCGCAGGCATCGTCTTTGTTGGTTTAAGCCCAAAACAATGGTGGGGAAATTGTTTGATAGGGTTTCATAGTCTGTAAATTACACCTAAAGTGCCCACTTCGGAGGCTTACTTTTGAGTCGATTGGGGGGCGGAATACCCTCTGCTAGAAACGAGAAATAGTTGTTTGCACAGTGTGGGTCGCGTGCGTGCGTGCGTACGGAAGTGCCCACAGCGTCTCACTCTTAAGTTTGAACTACCTCTTGTCACTTTTGGGCTTGCATGATTGCCGCTGTTGATTGTCCATCGCTCTCTATCCCTCTCAGCTCTCGGTGCCAGTTGTGGATGCCACCGTGGGGGATGAGTTTCGTTCACCGAAAGTGAAGCCCTCTTCGAGTCCTCAACTCTGCTGATAACCAGGAGGGAGGGGAGGCGAAGAGGGAGGAGCAAAGATCACGGCGAGTCCGGCACAGCGTTTGCGTCTGTTTTTCATAAGTTTACCCATAATTGATTCCTCCTTTCTCTCTGCTGTCTGTCTGTTTTACTGACGGGGAACACACGTACATGTGTATCTATAAATATGAATATTAGTGTTAATAAAAAGATACTTTTATCTTGTACATTATTTTTCTTCCGTTTTGTAGAATAAATGGAAATTTGAGATTGCATTATTGCTTCCTTTTCGCTCCAATTGTGTCGCTCTGTGGGGTGGGCATTTGTCGCTTGTGTGCCTTATCTCTTTTTGGTGACCTTGAGGGCTACGGCGCCTCGTACCGCGGACTTGACGTGGTAGCGAGTTGAGGAAGTTGCCTTTCTGAAGTCGGGCAGACAGTTATCAGTGTGTGTGCTTTCAGTGTACGCTTTACCGTAGAATCAGAAGACGAGGTTGGGATCTCCATTTTTGGAGGTGTAGTCTTATCAGAAGGTAAGGAATCGCTTCCAGGTCCTACAATGTTGCAATTATTCGAAGTTGGATAGTTCTGTGGAATGCGCAAGTCGAGGGATCAGGGGATGGCTGAAAGATGAGGGGTCGTGCTACGTAAGTACGCCTGTCACTATGATTACCTTGACAAGGTGGAGGAAGCACATAGAGGACGTAAAAATCGATCGCGGAGGCAAGTAATCGGGTGATTACAAATTAGGGGACATTTCTTCCCGCCCGATGTTAAAGAACACATCTACCGCGTTGATAGCCGTGTTTTGGGTTCTGGATAGAGGAAGACAGTGGTGAAATAGCTTTAGTATTGCGTCATAGCGCTTTTGCTCTCTCGTCTTGTTATTTTAACCAAGAATGCTTAAACGTTGCAGTAGAATTGTAAGTAAAGACTCATTTTTTAATACAAATAATGTTTTTCAAATGGAACTACTGCATCTGCTAATATAACAAGTAATCAGTAAATATGCATATATTGTTCACTTTAAAAGTCGAATCGTTGCTGCGTTTGCTATTAGTTATTTATTTTTATAATTGGAACATTAATCGAAATGCTGACGTACAGAACTTGTTTTAGTAAATCTAACCGCGTGATAATAGGGCTTGAAATACATCACTCGGTGTTTTAAAGTCGCCTTCTATTATCGCAAGGAGCTTGATCATTATGAACCGAAGCTGGTTTGATGAAATAACCAGCATCGAAAGCGCCTTCTCCGATTCTCATACACTATATTTTATGAAGAAAAGGAACGTTAGATACACGCCTTCAGCAAATTCGCAGAGAGTATCAACACATTTGTGCAAACGCAAGCGCTCTCCCAAAACGCAGGAAAAAATGAACAGAGTACCGATTACAACTGTGATTCGTGATCCTGAACGCAGTGTTTGTATCATTGATCAAGAAGAGGTTGACCAGTTTTTAAACCTAATATGTAAATTAGAGTTGCATTCATTGCTACATAATTTTAGTAGTTGATCCAGTTATATGCAAATTCCTCAGATTTGACAAGTGTTATAAATATGCTGATAAGGTGAGATCTTATGACATAACCTATTTTCAGTATTTGCTGTCAATGACCTTTGTTTACTTTAAACGATGCCACTTTGCCCTTAATGAATATAGCCGGACCAACTTTTTCTGTTGTTTGTAAGTTTCCTTGAAGCAACATCATACGATAGATACCTTGCGCATGATATTGAAGAAGACGACGAGGATTTAAAATATGAAATATTCCCCTGGGCGCTTGGGATCAAGTGGCGAGATAAAATTTCTTCATTCTTACAGAAAAAGGAGTGCCTATGGGCGAGGATGCATTACAGAGCCATAGTGGGCGCCAAATGTTGCGATGATGTAAACTGATACTTCATTACCTGGAACTTTAGTTGCTTGCAATTTTCGCTTGTGACGATATATCCAAACGAACGCGACAACCTCACCATGGAGGTGCAAAACGGGCGTATCTAAAGAGTCCTCTTTCCAATATGCCAAAGGGACCAAAGTTGGCACCCCGGTAACATGTGCTTTTACGGTTAAACATGTATTTGCAGAAAGTGCAGATTGTGTGATCAGATGGATGACACATCTGGAACCATTCCAACGCTTTTTTCATATCCAAGAAAGTCATTTGGATATAATGATAGTGGTACAGATGGGGTTTATTCACAAGATGGTGAATCATATGTGGACAACGAAATTTCTTATGAAGATGAGACGTGGCTATCTCAGGAAACCTTCACATCTGACAACAACTTTGGTTTAATCACTGGCAAGTGGCTTCTTTTACTAAATGTTTAAAATCCAAAAAGTTTTATTTTAAAGCTACCCAACTAGTAATT